TGGTCCACGCTGTAATTCTATTGGTCTTCTCTAGGGAACATGTCTTCTTTCAATTCATCCATATTATTATTATTATTTTTCTTTGTTGGTCTCTTGTGTTCTGTCCTGCAGGGCTTGGTCCATTATTGTAATTCTATGCTTCTCTAGGGAACATGTCTTCTTTCAATTCATCCATATTATTATTATTATTTTTCTTTGTTGGTCTCTTGTGTTTCTGTCCTGCAGGGCTTGGTCCACGCTGTAATTCTATGCTTCTCTAGGAACATGTCTTCTTTTCAATTCATCCATATTATTATTATTATTTTTCTTTGTTGGTCTCTTGTGTTCTGTCCTGCAGGGCTTGGTCCACGCTGTAATTCTCTATGCTTCTCTAGGAACATGTCTTCTTTCAATTCATCCATATTATTATTATTATTATTTTTTTGTTGGTCTCTTGTGTTCTGTCCTGCAGGGCTTGGTCCACGCTGTAATTCTATGCTTCTCTAGGGAACATGTCTTCTTTCAATTCATCCATATTATTATTATTTATTTTTCTTTGTTGGTCTCTTGTGTTCTGTCCTGCAGGGCATGTCTTCTTTCCACGCCATATTATTATTATTCTTGGTGCTTGTGTTCTCTAGGGCTGAGTCCACATGTCTTCTTTCAATTCATCCATATTATTATTATTATTATTTCTTTGTTGGTCTCTTGTGTTCTGTCCTGCAGGGCTTGGTCCACGCTGTAATTCTATGCTTCTCTAGGGAACATGTCTTCTTTCAATTCATCCATATTATTATTATTATTATTTCTTTTGTTGGTCTCTTGTGTTTCTGTCCTGCAGGGCTTGGTCCACGCTGTAATTCTATGCTTCTCTAGGGAACATGTCTTCTTTCAATTCATCCATATTATTATTATTTTATTTCTTTGTTGGTCTCTTGTGTTTCTGTCCTGCAGGGCTGGGTCCACGCTGTAATTCTATGCTTCTCTAGGGAACATGTCTTCTTTCAATTCATCCATATTATTATTATTATTTCTTTGTTGGTCTCTTGTGTTCTGTCCTGCAGGGCTTGGTCCACGCTGTAATTTATGCTTCTCTAGGAACATGTCTTCTTTCAATTCATCCATATTTATTATTATTATTTGTTTGTTGGTCTCTTGTGTGTTCTGTCTCTGGGGCTTGGTTTCAATTCATCCATATTATTATTATTATATTTTTTGTTGGTCTTTATGTTCTGTCCTGCAGGGCTTGGTCCCGCAGCATGTATTTCTCTAGGGAACATGTCTTCTTTCAATTCATCCATATTATTATTATTATTATTTCTTTGTTGGTCTCTTGTGTTTCTGTCTGCAGGGCTTGGTCCACGTTAATTCTATGCTTCTCTGGAACATGTCTTCTTTCAATTCATCCATATTATTATTATTATTATTTCTTTGTTGGTCTCTTATGTGTTTCTGTCCAGGGCTTGGTCCACGCTGTAATTCTATGTTTCTCTAGGGAACAACATCTTTCTTCAATTCATCCATATTATTATTATTATTATTTCTTTGTTGGTCTCTTGTGTTCTGTCCTGCAGGGCTTGGTCCACGCTGTAATTCTATGCTTCTCTAGGGAACATGTCTTCTTTCAATTCATCCATATTATTATTATTATTTCTTTGTTGGTCTCTTGTGTTCTGTCCTGCAGGGCTTGGTCCACGCTGTAATTCTATGGCTCTAGGGAACATGTCTTCTTTCAATTCATCCATATTATTATTATTATTTTTCTTTGTTGGTCTCTTTGTGTTCTGTCCTGCAGGGCTTGGTCCACTATGCTTCTAGGAAATTCTATGCTTCTCTAGGGAACATGTCTTCTTTCAATTCATCCATATTATTATTATTATTATTTCTTTGTTGGTCTCTTGTGTTCTGTCCTGCAGGGCTTTAGTCCACGCTTGTAATTCTATCTTCTCTAGGGAAACATGTCTTCTTTCAATTCATCCATATTATTATTATTATTATTTCTTTGTTGGTCTCTTTGTGTTCTGTCCTGCAGGGCTTGGTCCACGCTGTAATTCTATGCTTCTCTAGGGGAACATGTCTTCTTTCAATTCATCCATATTATTATTATTTTTCTTTGTTGGTCTCTCTTGTGTTCTGTCCTGCAGGTCTTGGTCCACGCTGTAATTCTATGCTTCTCTAGAGGAACATGTCTTCTTTCAATTCATCCATATTTATTATTATTATTTTTTGTTGGTCTCTTGTGTTCTGTCCTGCAGGGCTTGGTCCACATTGTAATTCTATGCTTCTCTAGGGAACATGTCTTCTTTCAATTCATCCATATTATTATTATTATTATTTTTTGTTGGTCTCTTGTGTTCTGTCCTGCAGGGCTTGGTCCACGCTGTAATTCTATGCTTCTCTAGAAACATGTCTTCTTTCAATTCATCCATATTATTATTATTATTATTTTTGTTGGTCTCTTGTGTTCTATCCTGCAGGGCTTGGTCCACGCTGTAATTCTATGCTTCTCTAGGGAACATGTCTTCTTTCAATTCATCCATATTATTATTATTATTATTATTTGTTTGTTGGTCTCTTTGTGTTCTGTCCTGCAGGGCTTGGTCCACGCTGTAATTCTATGCTTCTCTAGGGAACATGTCTTCTTTCAATTCATCCATATTATTATTATTATTATTTCTTTGTTGGTCTCTTGTGTTCTGTCCTGTTGGTCCACGCTGTAATTCCTTCTCTAGGGAACATGGTTGGTCTTTGGTTCTGTCCTGCAGGGCTTGGTCCATTGTAATGCTATCTCTAGGGAAATATGTCTTCTTTCAATTCATCCATATTATTATTATTATTTCTTTGTTGGTCTCTTGTGTTCTGTCCTGCAGGGCTTGGTCCACGCTGTAATTCTATGCTTCTCTAGGAACATGTCTTCTTTCAATTCATCCATATTATTATTATTATTTCTTTGTTGGTCTCTTTTGTTTCATCCTGCAGGCTTGGTCCACGCTTGTAATTCTATGTCTAGGGAACATGTCTTTTTCAATTCATCCATATTATTATTATTATTTTTTTGTTGGTCTCTTGTGTTCTGTCCTGCAGGGTCCACGCTGGTCCTCTAGGAAACATGTCTTCTTTCAATTCATCCATATTATTATTATTATTTCTTTCTTTTTGTTTGTCCTTGTGTTCTGTCCTGCAGGGCTTGGTTCAGGGAAATTCTATGTTTCTATGTCTTCTTTCAATTCATCCATATTATTATTATTATTTTTTTTTGTTGGTCTCTTGTGTTCTGTTCCTGCAGGCTTGGTCCACGCTGTAATTCTATGCTTCTCTAGGGAACATGTCTTCTTTCAATTCATCCATATTATTATTATTATTATTTTTGTTGGTCTCTTGTGTTCTGTCCTGCAGGGCTGAGTCCACGCTGTAATTCTATGCTTCTCTAGGGAACATGTCTTCTTTCAATTCATCCATATTATTATTATTATTATTTCTTTGTTGGTCTCTTGTGTGTTCTGTCCTGCAGGGCTTGGTCCACGCTTGTAATTCTATGCTTCTCTAGGGAACATGTCTTCTTTCAATTCATCCATATTATTATTATTATTATTTCTTTGTTGGTCTCTTGTGTTCTGTCCTGCAGGCTTTCAAATTCTATCTTCTAGGGAACATGTCTTCTTTCAATTCATCCATATTATTATTATTATTTCTTTGTTGGTCTCTTGTGTTCTGTCCTGCAGGGGTCTTGGTCCATTCGCATCCAATTCTTATATTTCTTTAGGGAACATGTCTTCTTTCAATTCATCCATATTATTATTATTATTATTTCTTTGTTGGTCTCTTGTGTTCTGTCCTGCAGGGCTTGGTCCACACTGTAATTCTATGCTTCTCTAGGGAACATGTCTTCTTTCAATTCATCCATATTATTATTATTATTATTTCTTTGTTGGTCTCTTGTGTTCTGTCCTGCAGGGCTTGTCCATTGTAATTCTATGCTTCTCTAGGGAACATGTCTTCTTTCAATTCATCCATATTATTATTATTATTATTTCTTTTGTTGGTCTCTTTGTGTTTCTGTCCTGCAGGGCTTGGTCCACGCTGTAATTCTATGTTTTCTAGGGAACATGTCTTCTTTCAATTCATCCATATTATTATTATTATTATTTCTTTTGTGGTCTCTTGTGTTTATCCTGCAGGGCTTTGTCCTGCAGGGCTTGGTAGGAACATCGCTGTAATTCTATGTTGGTCTTTGTGTTTCTCTAGGAACATGTTTCTTTTGTCTTCTTTCAATTCATCCATATTATTATTATTATTTTCTTTTGTTGGTCTCTTGTGTTCTGTCCTGCAGGGCTTGGTCCATGCTGTAATTCTATGCTTCTCTAGGGAAATGTGTCTTTCAATTCATCCATATTATTATTATTTTTGTTGGTCTCTTTGTGTTCTGTCCTGCAGGGCTTGGTCCATGTAATTCTATCTTCTCTAGGGAACATGTCTTCTTTCAATTCATCCATATTATTATTATTATTTCTTTGTTGGTCTTTGTGTTTCTGTCCTGCAGGGCTTGGTCCACGCTGTAATTCTATGCTTCTCTAGGAACATGTCTTCTTTCAATTCATCCATGTTATTATTATTATTTCTTTTGTTGGTCTCTTGTGTTTCTGTCCTGCAGGGCTTGGTCCACGCTGTAATTCTATGCTTCTCTAGGAACATGTCTTCTTTTCAATTCATCCATATTATTATTATTATTATTTCTTTGTTGGTCTCTTTGTGTTCTGTCCTGCAAACTTGGTCCACGCTGTAATTCTATGCTTCTCTAGGATCCTTCTTTCAATTCATCCATATTATTATTATTATTATTTTTTGTTGGTCTCTTGTGTTCTGTCCTGCAGGGCTTGGTCCACGCTGTAATTCTATGCTTCTCTAGAACATGTCTTCTTCAATTCATCCATATTATTATTATTATTTCTTTTGTTGGTCTCTTGTGTTCTGTCCTGCAGGGCTTGGTCCATGCTGTAAATCTATGCTTCTCTAGGGGAAATATGTCTTCTTTCAATTCATCCATATTATTATTATTATTATTTCTTTGTTGGTCTCTTTGTGTTCTGTCAAGGGCTTGGTCTTCTTTCTATTCATCTTTCAATTCATCCATATTATTATTATTATTTTTCTTTGTTGGTCTCTTGTGTTCTGTCCTTCAATTCATCCATATTATTATTATTATTTCTTGTTGGTCAGGGCTTGGTCCACGCTGTAATTCTATTAGCTTCTCTAGGAACATGTCTTCTTCAATTCATCCATATTATTATTATTATTTGTTGGTCTTCTCTGCAGGGAACATGTCTTCTTTCTCAATTCATCCATATTATTATTATTATTTCTTTGTTGGTCTCTTGTGTTCTGTCCTGCAGGGCTTGGTCCACGCTGTAATTCTATGTTCTCTAGGGAACATGTCTTCTTTCAATTCATCCATATTATTATTATTATTTTATTTTTTGTTGGTCTCTTTGTGTTTCTGTCCTGCAGGGCTTTATTGGTCTCTTGTGTTTTCTGTCCTGTAATTCTGTATGCTTCTCCTAGGGAACATGTCTTTTCAATTCATCCATATTATTATTATTATTATTTCTTTGTTGGTCTTGGTTTCTGTCCTGCAGGGCTTGGTCCACGCTGTAATTCTATGCTTCTCTAGGGAAATGTCTTCTTTCAATTCATCCATATTATTATTATTATTTCTTTTTGTTGGTCTCTTGTGTTCTATCCACGCTTGCAGGGCTTGGTCAACATGCTGTAATTCTATGCTTCTCTAGGGAACATGTCTTCTTTCAATTCATCCATATTATTATTATTATTATTTCTTTGTTGGTCTCTTGTGTTTTCTGTCCTGCAGGGCTTGGTCCATGCTGTAATTCTATGCTTCTAAGGAACATGTCTTCTTTCAATTCATCCATATTATTATTATTATTTTTTTGTTGGTCTCTTTGTGTTCTGTCCTGCAGGGCTTGGTCCAGCTGTAATTCTATGCTTCTCTAGGGAACATGTCTTCTTTCAATTCATCCATATTATTATTATTATTATTTCTTTGTTGGTCTTTGTGTTCTGTCCTGCAGGGACTTGGTCCACGCTTGCAATTCCTATGTTTCTCTGGAACATGTCTTCTTTCAATTCATCCATATTATTATTATTATTATTTCTTTGTTGGTCTCTTGTGTTTCTGTCCTGCAGGGCTTGGTCCAATTCATCCATAATTCTATGCTTCTCTTGGAACATTGTCCATGTTTTTCTTCAATTCATCCATATTATTATTATTATTATTTCTTTGTTGGTCTCTTGTGTTCTGTCCTGCAGGGGGCTGGTCCACGCTGTAATTCTATGTTCTCTAGGAACATGTCTTCTTTCAATTCATCCATATTATTATTATTATTATTTCTTTTTGTTGGTCTCTTTGTGTTCTATCCTGCAGAACTGGGTCCACATCTGTAATTCTATTGGTCTCTTCTCTAGGTCTGAAACATGTCTTCTTTCAATTCATCCATATTATTATTATTATTATTTCTTGTTGGTCTCTTTGTGTTCTGTCCTGCAGGGCTTGGTCCACGCTGTAATTCTATGCTTCTCTAGGAATTGTCTTTCAATTCATCCATATTATTATTATTATTTCTTTGTTGGTCTCTTGTGTTCTGTCCTGCAGGGTTGGTCCACGCTTGTAATTCTATGCTTCTCTAGGGAACATGTCTTTCAATTCATCCATATTATTATTATTATTATTTTTTGTTGGTCTCTTTGTGTTCTGTCCTGCAGGGCTTGGTCCACGCTGTAATTCTATGCTTCTCTAGGGAATATGTCTTCTTTCAATTCATCCATATTATTATTATTGTATTATTTCCTGGGTAGGGTCACATTTATTGGTCTCTTGTGTTCTCAGTTCTGTCCTGCAGGGCTTGGTCCACGCTGTAATTCTATGCTTTCTAGGAACATGTCTTCTTTCAATTCATCCATATTATTATTATTATTTCTTTGTTGGTCTCTTGTGTTCTGTCCTGCAGGTCTTATCCACGCTGTAATTCTATGCTTCTCTAGGGAACATGTCTTCTTTCAATTCATCCATATTATTATTATTATTATTTCTTAGTCTCTTTGTCCACTTTTCTGTCCTGCAGGGAACATGGTCCAATTCATCCATGTAATTCTTATTATTATTTCTTTGTTGGTCTTGTGTTCTAACTCTAAAAGGAACATGTCTTCTTTCAATTCATCCATATTATTATTATTATTAATTTCTTTTGTTGGTCTCTTTGTGTTCTGTCCTGCAGGGCTCCACCACTAGGGCTTTGGTCGTCTTCTTTTCAATTCATTGTAATTATATGCTTCTCTTGTGTTCTGTCCCAGGGAACTTGTATGTATTCTTTCAATTCATCCATATTATTATTTATTATTTCTTTTGTTGGTCTCTTGTGTTTGTGTCTGTTGGTTATTATTACTTCTAGTGTTCTGTCCCAGGGCTTGGTCCACATGTTTCTTTTCAATTCATCCATATGGCTTTTCTTTGTTGGTCTCTTGTGTTTATCCTATTGGTCCACGTTCTATGAAAAGACATGTCTTCTTTCAATTCATCCATATTTATTATTATTATTTCTTTTGTTGGTCTCTCTTTGTTCTGTCCTTGCAGGGTTTGGTCCACGCTTGTAATTCTATGCTTCTAGGGAACATGTCTTCTTCAATTCATCCATATTATTATTATTATTTCTTTGTTGGTCTCGTGTTCTGTCCTGCAGGGTTTGGTCCACGCTGTAATTTGCTATGTTTCTAGGGAAACATGTCTTCTTTTCAATTCATCCATATTATTATTATTATTTCTTGTTGGTCTCCTTGTGTTCTGTCCTGCAGGGCTTGGTCCACGCTGTAATTCTATGTTTCTAGGGAACATGTCTTCTTTCTGTTCATCCACATTATTATTATTATTTCTTTGTTGGTCTCTTTGTGTTCTGTCCTGCAGGTCTGGGTCCACGCCTGTAATTCTATGTTGGTCTCTCCTGCAGGGCTTGGTCCAAATTCTATGCTTCTAGGTATGCTTCAATTCATCCATATTATTATTATTATTATTTTTTGTTGGTCTCTTTATGTTCTGTCCTGCAGGACTTGGTCCACGCTGTAATTCTATGCTTCTCTAGGGAACATGTCTTCTTTCAATTCATCCATATTATTATTATTATTATTTTCTTTGTTGGTCTCTTGTGTTCTGTCCTGCATGGCTTGGTCCACGCTGTAATTTATAAGCTTCTCTAGGGAATATGTTCTTTCAATTCATCCATATTATTATTATTATTATTTTGTTGGTCTCTTGTTTCTGTCCTGCAGGGGCTTGGTCCACGCTGTAATTCTATATGCTTCTTTATGAAATATGTCCCTCTTTCAATTCATCCATATTATTATTATTATTATTTCTTTGTTGGTCTTTGTGTTCTGTTCTGCAGGGCTTGGGTCCATTTTCTGTAATTCTGTCTTCTATGCTTCCTCTAGGGAACATGTCCTTTCAATTCATCCATATTATTATTATTATTATTTTGTTGGTCTCTTTTTGTGTTCTGTCCTGCAGGGTTTTGGTCCACGCTGTAATTCTATGTTTTCTAGGGAACATCTTCTTTCAATTCATCCATATTATTATTATTATTTCTTTGTTGGTCTCTGTGTTGTCTATCCGCAGGGCTTGGTCCCACGCTTGTAATTCTATGCTTCTCTAGGGAAATATGTCTCTTTCAATTCATCCATAATTTTATTATTATTATTATTTCTTTGTTGGTCTCTTTGTGTTCTGTCCTGCAGGGTTTGGTCCACGCTGTAATTCTATGTTCTCTAGGGAAATATGTCTTCTTTCAATTCATCCATATTATTATTATTTTTTTTGTTGGTCTCTTTGTGTTCTGGTCCTGCAGGGCTTGGTCCACGCTGTTGCTTCTCTAGGGAAATTGTCTTTTCATCCATTATTATTATTATTTCTTTGTTGGTCTTTGTGTTCTGTCCCGTAGGGAACATGTCTTCTTTCAATTATCCATATTATTATTATTATTATTTTTGTTGGTCTCTTTGTGTTCTGGTCCTGCAGGGCTTGGTTCACCTGTAATTCTATGCTTCTCTAGGGAACATGTCTTCTTTCAATTCATCCATATTATTATTATTATTTCTTTTGTTGGTCTCTTGTGTTCTGTCCTGCAGGGCTTGGTCCACATTGTAATTCTATGCTTCTCTGGAACATGTCTTCTTTCAATTCATCCATATTATTATTATTATTATTTTTTGTTGGTCTCTTGTGTTTCTGTCCTGCAGGGCTGAGTCCACGCTGTAATTCTATGCTTCTCTAGGGAACATGTCTTTTCAATTCATCCATATTATTATTATTATTATTTTGTTGGTCTTTTGTGTTCTGTCCTGCAGGTGAGTCCACGCTGTAATTCGGGTATGGGTCCACCTAGGGAACATGTCTTCTTTCAATTCATCCATATTATTATTATTATTATTTCTTTGTTGGTCTCTTGTGTTCTGTCCTGCAGGGCTGGGTCCACGCTTGTAATTCTATGCTTCTCTAGGGAACATGTTTTTTTCAATTCATCCATATTATTATTATTATTATTTCTTTTGTTGGTCTCTTGTGTTCATCCTACCAGGGCTTGGTCCACGCTGTAATTCTATGTTTCTAGGAAAATACGTCTTTCAATTCATCCATATTATTATTATTATTTCTTTGTTTGTCTCTCTTGTTTCTGTCCTGCGGGCTTGGTCCACGTGTAATTCTGTCCTGCTCTGAGGGAACATATTTTCAATTCCATATTATTATTATTATTATTTTGTTGGTCTGTGTGTTCTGTCCTGCAGGGCTTGGTCCACGCTGTAATTGCTTCTTTAGGGAACATGTCTTCATTCAATTCATCCATATTATTATTATTCTTTGTTGGTCTCTCTTGTGTTCTGTCCTGCAGGGCTTGGTCCACATTGTAATTTATGCTTCTAGGGAACATGTCTTCTTTCAATTCATCCATATTATTATTATTATTATTTTTGTTGGTCTTTGTTCTGTCCTGCAGGGCTTATCCACGCTGTAATTCTATGCTCTAGGGAACATGTCTTCTTTCAATTCATCCATGTTATTATTATTATTTATTTCTTTGTTGGTCTCCTGTGTTCTTATCCTGCAGGGCTTGGTCCATATTGTAATTCTATGTTTCTCTTAGGAAATGTGTTCTTTCAATTCATCCATATTATTATTATTATTTCTTTTTGTTGGTCTCTTTATGTTCTGTCCTGCAGGGCTTGGTCCACGCTGTAATTCTATGCTTCTCTAGGGAAATACGTCTTCTTTCAATTCATCCATTATTATTATTATTATTTCTTTGGTTGTGTTCTCCTGGTCCACGCTTCCCATGTCCATGCAGGGTCTTTTGGTCCAGGACTTGGTCCACGCCTGTAATTCTAGGCTTCTAGGGAACATGTCTTTTTCAATTCATCCATTATTATTATTATTATTTCTTTGTTGGTCTTGTGTTCTGTCCTGCAGGGCTTGGTCCACGCTTGTAATTTATGTTTTCTAGGGAACATGTCTTCTTTCAATTCATCCATATTATTATTATTATTATTTCTTTGTTGGTCTTTGTGTTCTGTCCTGCAGGGCTTGGTCCACATTGTAATCCCATGCTTCTAGGAATATGTCTTCTTTCAATTCATCCATATTATTATTATTATTATTTTTTGTTGGTCTCTTGTGTTCTGTCCTGCAGGACTGAGTCCACGCTGTAATTTATGGCTTCTAGGGAACATGTCTTCTTCAATTCATCCATATTATTATTATTATTATTTCTTTGTTGGTCTCTTTGTGTTCTGTCCTGCAGGGCTTGGTCCACGCTGTAATCCTATGTTTCCTCTAGGGAACATGTCTTCTTTTCAATTCATCCATATTATTATTATTATTATTTCTTTGTTGGTCTCTTTGTGTTCTGTCCTGCAGGGCTTGGTCCACATTGTCTTTAGCTTCTAGGGAACATGTCTTCTTCATCCATATTATTTATTATTTTTTATTATCTTTTGTTGGTCTCTCTTGAGTGTTCTGTCCTATGCAGGGTCTTTCTTCATCCATATATTATTATTATTATTTCTTTGTTGGTCTCTCGCTGTCTAATTCTATGTTCTCTTGGGAAATATGTCTTCTTTCAATTCATCCATATTATTATTATTATTATTTCTTTGTTGGTCTCTTGTGTTCTGTCCTGCAGGGCTTGGTCCACACTGTAATTCTATGGCTTCTCTAGGGAAACATGTCTTTTTTCAATTCATCCATATTATTATTATTATTTTTTTTGTTGGTCTCTTTGTGTTCTGTCTCCTGCAGGGCTGGGTCACACGCTGTAATTCTATGTTTCTCTAGGAACATGTCTTCTTTCAATTCATCCATATTATTATTATTATTATTCTCTTGTTGGTTCTTTTGTGTTCTGTCCTGGGCTTGGTCCACACTGTAATTCTAATGCTTCTCTGGGAACATGTCTTCTTTCAATTCATCCATATTATTATTATTATTATTTTTTGTTGGTCTCTCTTGTGTTCTGTCCTGCAGGGCTTGGTCCATTGTAATTTATGCTTCTAGGGAAATATGTCTTCTTTCAATTCATCCATATTATTATTATTATTATTTCTTTGTTGGTCTCTTTGTGTTTCTGTCCCCAGGGCTTGGTCCACGCTGTAATTCTATGTTTAGGAACATGTCTTCTTTCAATTCATCCATATTATTATTATTATTTTTTTGTTGGTCTCTTGTGTTCTGTCCTGCAGGGTTTGGTCCATGCTGTAATTCTATGTTTGTCTAGGGAACATGTCTTTCTTTCAATTCATCCAATTCATTATTATTATTATTTCTTTGTTGGTCTCTTGTGTTCTGTCCTGCAGGGTTTGGTCCATGCTGTAATTCTATGCTTCTCTAGGGAACATGTCTTCTTTCAATTCATCCATATTATTATTATTATTTCTTTGTTGGTCTCTTTGTGTTCTGTCCTGCAGGGCTTGGTCCATGCTGTCCTTTATGCTTCTAGGAATATGTCTTCTTCAATTCATCCATATATTATTATTATTTCTTTGTTGGTCTCTTGTGTTCTGTCCTGCAGGGCTTGGTCCATGCTGTAATTCTATGCTTCTCTAAGGAACATGTCCTCTTTCAATTCATCCATATTATTATTATTATTATTTCTTTGTTGGTCTCTTGTGTTCTATCCTGCAGGGCTTGGTCCACGCTTATAATTCTATGCTCTAGGAACATGTCTTCTTTCAATTCATCCATATTATTATTATTATTTCTTTGTTGGTCTCTTGTGTTCTGTCCTGCAGGGCTTAGTCCACATTGTAATTTATGTTTTCTAGGGAACATGTCTTCTTTCAATTCATCCATATTATTATTATTATTATTTTTTTATTGGTCTCTGTGTTCTGTCCCTGCAGGGCTTGGTCCACGCTGTAATTTATGCTTCTTCTATGTCTTCTTTCAATTCATCCATATTATTATTATTATTATTTCTTTTTTTGGTCTTTTGTGTTTGTCCTGTCCTGCCAGGGGTAATCTTGGTCCTTCAATTCATCCATATTATTATTATTATTATTTCTTATTGGTCTTCTATCCTGCAGAAATTCTATGTTTTCTAGGGAACATGTCTTCAATTCATCCATATTATTATTATTATTATTTCTTTGTTGGTCTCTTTTAATTTGTCCTGTAGGGCTTGGTCCACGCTGTAATTCTATGCTTCTCTAGGGAACATGTCTTCTTTCAATTCATCCATATTATTATTATTATTTTTCTTTGTCTCTTGTGTTCTGTCCTGTGGGCTTCTCCACGCTGTCCTGCTTCTCTAGGGAACATGTCTTCTTTCAATTCATCCATATTGTTATTATTATTTCTTTGTTGGTCTCTTGTGTTCTGTCCTGCAGGGCTTGGTCCACGCTGTTTGCTTCTCTAGGAACATGTCTTCTTTCAATTCATCCATATTATTATTATTATTATTTCTTTGTTGGTCTCTTGTGTTCTATCCTGCAGGGCTTGGTCCACTTTGTAATTCTATGCTTCTCTAGGAACATGTCTTCTTTCAATTCATCCATATTATTATTATTATTATTTCTTTGTTGTTGGTCTCCACGCTGTTTCTCTTTCATCATCTTATTTCTGTTGGTCTCAGGGCTTGGTCCACGCTCTATGCTTCTCTAGGGAACATGTCTTCTTTCAATTCATCCATATTATTATTATTATTATTTCTTTGTTGGTCTCTTTGTGTTCTGTCCTGCAGGGCTTGGTCCACGCTTGTAATTCTATGCTTCTCTAAACATGTCTTCTTTCAATTCATCCATATTATTATTATTATTATTTCTTTGTTGGTCTCTTGTGTTTCTGTCCTGCAGGGCTTGGTCCTAGGGCTTGGAATTGTCTTCTTTCAATTCATCCATATTATTATTATTATTATTTCGTTGGTCTTGTAATTGGTCCACGCTGTAATTCTATGCTTCTCTAGGGAACATGTCTTCTTTCAATTCATCCATATTATTATTATTATTATTTCTTTGTTGGTCTCTTTGTGTTCTGTCCTGCAGGGCTTGGTCCACGCTGTAATTCTATGTTTCTCTAGGGAATATGTCTTCTTTCAATTCATCCATATTATTATTATTATTATTTCTTTGTTGGTCTCTTGTGTTCTGTCCTGCAGGGCTTGGTCCACGCTGTAATTCTATGCTTCTCTAGGAACATGTCTTCTTTCAATTCATCCATATTATTATTATTATTATTTCTTTGTTGGTCTCTTTGTGTTCTGTCCTGCAGGGCTTGGTCCACGCTGTAATTCTATGCTTCTCTAGGAAACATGTCTTCTTTCAATTCATCCATATTATTATTATTATTTCTTTGTTGGTCTCTTTGTGTTCTGTCCTGCAGGGCTTGGTCCACGCTGTAATTCTATGCTTCTCTAGGGAACATGTCTTCTTTCAATTCATCCATATTATTATTATTATTTTTCTTTGTTGGTCTCTTGTGTTCTGTCCTGCAGGGCTTGGTCCACGCCAATAATTCCCATGCTAGGAACATGTCTTCTTTCAATTCATCCATATTATTATTATTATTTCTTTGTTGGTCTCTTGTGTTCTGTCCTGCAGGGCTTGGTCCACGGAACATGTAATTCTATGCTCTCTAGGGAACATGTCTTCTTTCAATTCATCCATATTATTATTATTATTTCTTTGGTTGTCTTTGTTTGTCCTGCAGGTCTGGGTCCACGGTAATTCTATGCTTCTCTAGGGAACATCCAATTCATCCATATTATTATTATTATTTCTTTGTTGGTCTCTTTGTTCTGTGTTGGTCCACTGTAATTCTATGCTTCTAGGGAACATGTCTTCTTTCAATTCATCCATATTATTATTATTATTATTTTTGTTGGTCTCTTGTGTTCCCTGCAGGGCTTGGTCCACGCTTGTAATTCTATGCTTCTTAGGGAACATGTCTTCTTTCAATTCATCCATATTATTATTATTATTATTTTTGTTGGTCTCTTGGTCCACGTGTAATTCTATGGGCTGGAATCCTGCATGGCTTGGTCCACGTGTTCTGTCATTTCTATGATCTAGGAACATGTCTTCTTTCAATTCATCCATATTATTATTATTATTATTTCTTTGTTGGTCTCTTGTGTTCTGTCCTGCAGGGCTTTGTCCACGCTGTAATTTCTATGTCTTCTTTCAATTCATCCAACATGTTGGTCTCTTCTGTCCTGCATTCATCCATATTATGTATTCATCCATTTATTATTATTATTATTTCTTTGTTGGTCTCTTGTGTTCTGTCCTGCAGGGCTTGGTCCACGCTGTAATTCTATGCTTCTCTAGGGAACATGTCTTCTTTCAATTTCTCCATATTATTATTATTATTTCTTTGTTGGTCTCTTGTGTTCTGTCCTGTAGGGCTTGGTCCACGCTTTAATTCTATGCTTCTAGGGAACATGTCTTTTCAATTCATCCATATTATTATTATTATTTTTTGTTGGTCTTGTGTTCTATCCTAGGGCTTGGTCCACGCTGTAATTTATGCTTCTCTAGGGAACATGTCTTCTTTCAATTCATCCATATATTATTATTATTATTTTGGTCTTTGTTGGAACATCTTCTTTTCATCCATATTATTATTATTTCTTTGTCTCTTTCAAAAGGTCTTGGTCCACGCTGTAATTCATTTCTAGGGAACATGTCTTCTTTTCAATTCCATATTTCTTTCATTATTATTATTATTTTATTTCTTTGTTGGTCTCT